AATTCTGAGAATTGAAGTCCACACATCTTCAAGTCGCCAAGGTTGAGAAACACTGCAGTATAGTAATAATGTGAAACAGGCTGAGAGACAACGACCATTCCTACATTAGTACAGTGGAACCTCAGGTTACGAACACCTCTGCTAACGAACTTTTCGGGTTACGACCAGCTCCGGCCGCAAAAATTAACCTCGGTTTGCGAACTCCGCCTCGGGGTACGAACAGGATCCGCAGCCATTTTTCCGCCCCTGACACGTGGTCCGCGGCCATTTTCTGCCCCTGACACGTGGTCTGTGGTCATTTTCCGCCCCTGACACGTGGTCCGCGGCCATTTTTCCACCCCTGACACGTGGTCCACGGCCATTTTTCCGCCCCTGACACGTGGTCCGCGGCCATTTTCTGCCCCTGACACGTGGTCTGTGGTCATTTTCCGCCCCTGCCACGTGGTCCGCGGCCATTTTCTGCCCCTGACACGTGGTCTGTGGTCATTTTCCGCCCCTGCCACGTGGTCCGCGGCCATTTTCTGCCCCTGACACGTGGTCTGTGGTCATTTTCCGCCCCTGCCACGTGGTCCGCGGCCATTTTCTGCCCCTGACACGTGGTCTGTGGTCATTTTCCGCCCCTGACACGTGGTCGTAGGGAGGGGGACTCTCCCTCCAAGCAATAGCCGCCTCCCTGTCCTCCATGCCAGAACGGATTAACGGTAATTACATTGAACCTTATGGGGAAATTTCCTTCGGGTTGCAACCAATTCGGGATGCGACCAGAGTCACGGAACGAATTAAGTTCGTAACCCGAGGTTCCACTGTAGTTTATAGTGTTTTCAAATGTCCCATAGGTATTCCCCAAGCAAAAAGTGGGAAATGCATATGCTCCAGTCCTTGTTTGCCATGTGTGATTTATGTAGAAGATTAAGAAAGAAAGGTCTGTGTAATATAAACAAAGGCGCTCCAACATAATTCCAGTGGTGTTGTAATCTACCCTCCTTTCTTCCTATAATCCCCTACAGCATTAGAGCTGGGCCCCCAACCCCAAGGAGTGGCACGAGCTGACCAGCTTGCTAAAATGCGATCGATTATGGCCTGTGCTTTGGACTTCATTGAACTTTTTAACAAAGGTGACCTATTTTGATTCTTGGACTGGGAAGCTCCATCAGTGTGAGTGAGAAATATTAGCTTTAGTGAGACCAATTTTAGAGATTATTAGAATTTCAGTTTTACTGAAAAAACTGAAAGTTATATCAATAATCTCTCCCTTTTTCAAAGTCAGAGTGGGAAACAACCAACACTGAGCTGCCAACAAACCATCATGCATTGTTCAGTAATACGTTCTGAAATTTAATCCTATTTCTCTAATGTATCACACTCTAGTGGTCTGTAATGAGATTTATACTGATCAGGCTCTACGTCTGACATGAATTTTAATCAATAGAAGAGAATATATGTACTATAGCTCAGGGTTGAACTGTGGAGTCCTTGGGGTTCTCTGAGCTTGATTATTTTCTTGCAGACATTTCATTACCCAACTAGGTAACATCTTCAGTGCTGGAAGGGAGTGGGGTTTGCTCTCTGTATACAATAGCTTGCCCTGTCAGTGTTGGAGGGGGTGTTGTTTTCTCCTTGGTAGTTTCTTGATTAGGGTATTGTTTACTGGTTGATTGTTTGGTGTTAAGCCTGGTGTTAATTATCTGGGTGTTGATTGCCAGCAAGGAGGTGTTCTGGTCTTTTTGTTTCCTTTTTATTGTCTTTTTTGAATAGCGTGTAAATTTATTTATTTATTTATTTATCTATCTATCATATTTATATGGCCGCCCATCTCATGTCCTTTATCTCTATGTGCCTGTTGATGGCTGACTTGTCTGAATACCAAGCTTCCAGGAATTCC